TGGGATCACTCAGTATTGAAGCAGATTTATCTACATTTTTGTCTGTTAGCATCAATAACAGGCAGAGAGGCATCTTCATCATTCAGACAAAACTGCTGGACCGTAAACCTACCCTCTTACATGCTGTGCTGTCTTCTCCTATGAAAGTGCTCTAGGCATCTTTGCTGCCCACCGAATTCAAGCCAGTAATCCGGGCAGGACTGTCAGCAGAGGAATGCCGTCTTTTAAATGCCCAGAACAAGAGACAAGGCTTTCAGAGACAGCTGAAGCTGCCAGAACACCAGCTTCTCCTCCTCACCCACACAATGATGGCATTGTGTGGGGAATCCAGCCCACTACTCTCAGTTCCCCTTTCTGCAAACCCAGCTACAGCAACGACTGAAGTCAGGACCAAAGAGCTGAGCATTTGGTGACAGTCAGCCCTATAACCACTTGCACCAGCTGCATAAATCCAAATTGCTCATTTTCAATGGAATTTGTTTGCGTGCTGTCTAGCAACACCCAGAGACGGGGGGGAGAAAAAAGAAAGATCTCAGAAGTCTGTAACTGAGGTCATGAAACAACATAAGTAGATTCCAAAACCCACCTCTGAGATGTCATGCAGTTTACAAAATGGAAAAGTTGTAAATAAGCTGAATATTGTCAATGTACTGTTTTACACATAAAAAGATGGAATGTCTATTTTTCTTACAAAATAGAAGTACACTGTAAAGATCAGTTTGATTTTGAAACTCAAATACGTATAGAAAGCCAATCACCAGTATGAGGCACACACACTTCTGTGTTTTGTGTAAAACCCATTAAAAACATAGAAGCAGGGTTTTGAGGTTTGTTTTTTTTTTAACCACTTTTAAATTCTCACTGTGGTTCACAAGCGCCTTTTATGAAATACTCCAGCCTCTAAAAACCTTAAATGATTAGTATATCAACACAAAGCCACAGAACAGCCTTCACACTAGAGCATACTACTAAAGACTCCAGTAATGAATAAGACAGCAAGGTCACTAAAGTATTTAGCAAAGGAGGTGAGGAGGTTGTTCTGAGGTACCTGGAAAAATAAGAACCAAGGATGACAGTGAGTGGAAAAAGAGGAAGGAAGGACAGGAGAAGGCACCAATCCCATGTGATTGTATCAAACCCAATGGTTTGACAAGGCATCTGAAGCCAGATTCTTCAATTGTGGAGGAAAAATGACAACAGATAGGGTAAAATAGAATGCTGCAGATCAGAAATGATGTCATCATGGCAGGATGTCTGAAAGAACTGACATTATAGTTGGTGGTGACACAAAAGAGAGGGTGGAAAGTTCTGTCTTCATGAACTCTGTGTCCAAGGTAGCAGAGAGGTGAGCAAGATGACAGGCCAGGGAAAGATGGGAGGGGAGAAGTCAGAGAGAGGAGTACTTTGGAAATTATCCAAGGGTTGGTGGCAGCTGAGGGAAGATAAAATTTACAGCACAGTGTTTCCCAAATTGAACATCACAAGGTCATAGTCACCATTCACAGCTCTCCAAGGGCTCCTGGCTGGAAGGGTCTCAATTAAAAATACACCTGTTATAAGCAGAATATTGCCATGACATCCCCCATTGGTCTACCACAAAAAGAGGTCAGTAAACCATGCTTTTCTAAATAGAAAGCCAAAGAAATGAACCTTGGGGAATGGCATCAGGAAGTCAATAAAGAGCCATTTAAGGAGATATTGGAAAGTCAGCAAGGAAAGAGCCCTGAACAACAGGAAAAAGAAAGCCTGATGAATCAAAGGCAGCCATCAACCCAAAACCTGGAGGACAGAAAATTGTTCCTTGTATTAGATGATGACTAATAATAATGATCACTGTGGCAGCAGCTTCACTGGAACTCAAAGGAGAAAAGCAAAAGAGAAGGAAACAGAGAGAAAAGTAGAAGAAAACCAGTGGAAAGCCAGCACAGAGAAACAAAAGATCAGGGTCCTAGTTAGGTAAATATGATGTGAGCAGAGTTTTCCATTTGTGCTTCCCTTGGGAAACAAAACTGCCAGGAGTTCAAAGTGAAAGGTAAATGAGTCACAATGGAAAAAAGAAAAATACTTGAGAAAAGGACTTCAGAACAGAGGAAGGTGCAAATGCAGGAGAAAAAATGAGTGAATTTAATATATAACATCACAGAATGGAGATTGCAAATTCAATGAAGAAAGAAGAAGGAAAAATAGAAGTGAAAAAGGAGAAAATTGCAACACAGTCAGATGAAAAGAGAAAGAAAGGGATTGGTTGATATTTTAGTCTAGCTTCTTATGGAATGAGATTGCCTCTCCCCATCCCAACAGCTTCTGAATATGCTGGTCAGCTTCAGTGACAAATCTCGACGAAAACAGCTCTTTGAAATTGCATGGAAATGTGCCTTCAAGGTAAAGGGGTAATGAATTTGAGTTTCCCAACTACATAAAAGGCTGTTATATGAATTCTTCCTTTTTATTATTGCTCTCTTGATTAACCAGAGAATCAGCATGAAGCTGCATGAAGCTCCATACCAAGCAGAAGCCTTCAGTAAAACAGAGGGTCTCTAATAAACTTAAGTTTATCAGCTGAAAGGCAGAGATCCACAGGATGGAAGGCTTCCTCAAGCAGCAGTGTTCAGTTCTCAGTGCTTAGTGAAATTTGCAAAGCAACTGGATGGTTTTGGTATGAAGAAGGCTACAAAGAAAAGAGGTGCATGAAGAACTGATATTGAGAAAGAATAGAGGGGGAAAGCAGACTTGAGAACAGGCAGAAGCCTGTATGGACACACATCAGAAGTTCAAGGTGGTAGTTTTCTTGAGGTACAGGACCAATAGCTGATGACAGTATGAAAGCAAGTGTAAAGATGAAGAAAAAGAAAAGTAAACCCAGCAGTCAAAAAGGGCTCAAGAGAAAAGGATAACATTCTTTAGAGAAAGAGTGGAAACTGGCAACACAGGTTTCCGAGGTGGTGTCTGGTGTTACAGTCTGCTGTCCATTCTCTGCTGACATCCAGCTCAGACAACTTTCAACAGCAAATGTAGCACCTGACTGTCCACCAAAGGGACCCATGGCTGATTCAGCAGCCACACCATGTTCTTGCCATTTTCTAGCATTTGCTAAGGAATTGGTTCAGTCCATGGAAGAGATTCCATAAAACCTTAATCCAACCTGCTGCAGAGCTAACATCAACAAACGCAAATATTACCAGTCTCAAGCAGCCAAGTTACTACTTTGGAATCTTGTTATTTTCTCATAGACTGACAGGCTTTCTGTAACTAATCTTTTTTCTTCTTCTTTTAACATCAGCTATCGTTAAGTGCCGAATTACCCCATCTTGCAAATCAGCAAATAAGTAAAGATAGTATTTCTGTTCTCGTTGAGTAATGGCTAACACATTACAAGATGGAATTCCTCATGTATTTTGACAAGTGAGATCTTGCTTTAATTATTTATGAAAATGCTTTGCAGTAGACCAGTGAAAGTCCTACAGTGTATTTTTGCATGTTTTTCAAAAAGAATGAACTCTTAGGGACATGTGACCTTTCTGCCATGGTCTGCAATTATGTCTGTGCTTAGAGGTAATGTGGGTGAGCAAGTTACACTACCAGCATTTGCATGCTAGCATCTGAGTATGATGAGATTTCCTACTTAAGGAAATCAGCTACAGCATATTCTTTCCATAGTTATTTTTAACAAGCAGTTAAATTTTGATAGTTTTGTGGTATCTAAAAGAAAAAAATACAGACAGGACATCCAAGAAAAACCTCACTACCAGAAAGAGGTTCTAAACTGAGGTGAGCTTAAGAAGTTACTTTCACTAATTCAGTCTCTACAGTTAGAAAATAGGGGGGGAAATCAGATTTCAGTCCTTTAGTATTTAGTCTAATGACACAAACCCAGGACTATGATATCTTATGTAAGCACAAAAGGCCACTAGCACGAAAGAAGCTGAAGGTTCAAAGGATAAAGTAAAAATGGCTAACTACATGCTATCTGAAAAATATATCATTTCACAAAAATAAACCAGCAAAATGCTTTTTGTTAATTTATTCTAAGAACTTTATTTATATGGCTATAGCACCTGTCACATTTTCAGCATGCATTAGTACTGTACTAAACACTACACATCTATTTTAAGCTAAAGGATGAAAATCATAGGTCTTTTCTTTAACTGTTAAGAAAGATCATTGCACTAGGGTATGTTAACAAATTTATGTGTGAGAGCATCTGCCCTATGATATCATTCTTTCCATTTTTCACTCTACCTTCTTCTTTGCATGCATGGAAATGCACACTGTGTGCACACCTCCAATAATTGTGTGCACACCTCCACACAAACAAGGTGTAGCTAACATTTCTTCTCTGTTGGGTGTCTTTTCTTCAGGTATTCTCTACTTTTGAGTGGCGTGCTTTCTTACTGCATCCTATGGACAGCTATCAGTTCATACTCTGACAATCACAGCAGTGGAAGACAGGTGGCAGATGTACCAGCAGTGAAGTCTGACAGATTAAATTTTGCAAATACAAACCTGCTAATCCTCAAATTCCCAAACTGATTTGAGATTAGTTACAAAGCTAGAGACTACACCAAGAATTTCCATATGATCAGATCCTCTTCCTAAATTCCACCCCCTGAGTACAGAGAGGTAGAAGTACACAGGAAAAGGCCAAGAGCAGCCAAGGGCCATTTGAGATCTCAGGGAATATCTGACCTACAGATGTACAATGAAGAGTCTCAAAATGTTTTCCATTTATTCTTTGATCATGTCTACATCTATGACCACATTCTCATGTGAGCCAATAGTTAAGGAAGTCCCTGAAAGACATATTTGGCAGAAGTACGAAGGGAATTAATTCCAAGAATGATGGTAATTTACTTGTCTTTAGTCATGAATCAGAATTAATTCATGCAAGAAAGTTACAGCTGTCTTTGAAGACAATCAAGTCACACCAAACTGGGTTGCTTTATTCTTCTCCTAAGATGAAATGCAGCCCTATAAAAGGAAAGGGAGATGATGGCACTCACCTTACATCCCTCACAAGCACTGACACCATAGTGATATCCGGATGACTTGTCTTGACAAACAAAACAGGGCTTGTAAACACGAGGGGGTGGAAGTGGTGAAGGAGGGCTCGGAACAAGTTCCTCAGAACTGGTGCTCTGAGTTTCAACTGCTACAAAAGAAAAAAAAAAATTATTCATAATAATTTTGAACAAATTACTGTATATAACCATATTGCAAGTATCAAACCGGCCCATATTGTTCTTTCCATTATAAACATTAATTTGTCTTTCCTAGTAAAATTTAAAGGGAGCTAAGCAAGGCAAATAATGACAGGACTACATCCTACAGCCTCAAAACTGTATTTTAAAGTACCCAATAATTTAGATGTAGGACATGAATTTTACCAGGCTCCCAAAAAGGACAACTTTGAGCTCATGCTCTGGTTTTAGCCTATTGAATTGCATAGTATCCACATGTGCAGGCTGGATATCAGCCTTTAAAGGGAAACTTTACTCTAGCAAAGAGTGTGATTGGTACCTAATATCGGAAGAGTTTTTTAATATCTTGCCTTTTTCTAGGTCAGCATGCAATTCTGACTTAACAGGATAGCAGAACATATATGCCAAGAGTGTGAGAACTGAAGTGAAAATTACCTAAACAAGTTGTCCTTTCTTTTTTTTTATCTGTAAAACTAGCACAACCCAGCAATACTTCCTTACCTACCTTAACACCTGTATATCAGGAAACCTCGCTGAGAAAAAGCTACTTATATATTATGACCCCCACATCCCTTTATTGCCTTAATATTTCTAGATGGTCATTTGTTTTGAGCCTGTTGAAAAGCCAGTAACCCCTCTCAGGGAAAGGACGTGAAAGCTCTACGATGCAAGATAAGACATGTGAACTACATCTTTCCAAAACATCTGCATTAGTTTTCTGTGATATGCTGTCATCATTCCTCACGTTTATTGTGGATGTGCAATACATTTTCATGTTTCACCTTGCCGTCTGCTGCTTCTCAGATAAATCCCTCTAACTTTTCAACAGATATACAGGAATGACAGGATCTGTGAACTCAGATCTAGCCAGAAATATTAGGCACTATCAGCAGAGCTAAATCTCCAGAGTACTAACAGCAGGCCCTAAAGAATATTACTCAATGGAAAAATCTTAGACAAGATTTACTGTACATGATATTTTTCAGATTACAATGATGATACATTTGTATTAAACTCATGATTCATTGTCAACCCATGTGTTGCCGAATTCACAGAGGGCATCACAGCACATGAGGCAACCTCTGATTACTCATGAGAGAAGGGCCCCTTTCTGCCTTTTTTCCTTGGGTTAAGCTAGTATCAATTTCAAGGACAGACACTTCTTGAGAAGAAAATAAATTCTAGAGTAAAGTATTAAAGGCTCTGATCTAAACAAGGAAATACCTTTGCAATTTATTTATATATCTAACGATAAGGAGGCTGTGAAAAAACAGAAAACTAAAATAAGTAAAATAACATGGCTCCATAAATTGTGGCATTGAGACAATGTCCAGAACTACAGTCATCTTTTTCAGCATTAAATAAACTGAACTTGGCAAGCATCTATGTGTTCCTACTGTACCAAGAAAATTTTAATGAAGCTTTTTCCTAATAAAAACTTATATGAGAATGATAATTTCTTTTCAACAGTAATTTTTGGTATTTAAGAGAGATAGAGAGTGCTCTGTTATTGATCTCTGCACAGCCACCCTGCTTGAATCAATAATCTATTAGTACTTCTAAATTAAAGTTAGATTCATCAAATGCCCTTGAGAAGCCCCAAACATTCCTTGCCACATTTCATGCTCGTACATGAATTATGGTGGCTTCCAATGAGTCTATGGAATGATAAAATTTTAGCTTTAAAACTCCAATACCAGCAGACAATGTGTTTTGTATTAGCTCATTCAACTCTCCGGGTCCACCTAAAAGGCAGTTTTTAGGCTCCCCATGGGAAAACAAGATTCTGTCATTCAATAAAACAACTGCTCTCGTGCAATCCTTCTGTGATTTCAGTATGGGGAAAGCAGCCCTTCAGGAATAATACTGATACACTTCTGTTTATTCATCAATTCATCCTAAACAAGCACCATCATCCAATAGTAGTGTTCCACCCACAAACAGTATTGTACACCAGTCAAGCACTGTAGAAACAACAGGAGCTTCTGATATCCAGTAGAGATTATGCAACCAACTCAGTTCATAAATACACAACACAGTCAGCAAGTGAAGTGTTGAAGGTACTGCTAGAGAATATTTTTGAGGACTATTTGAAAAGGTATACGATAAGGAAGGAGCCAATGGAAATCAGAAGAGCCTCCCTAAAACACCCATATACATGAGCCACTAAAAGGACCTAATCTACTAAAAATAATACTTGCATTAGCTGAACAACTGTCTAGAGAATTTGTTTTTTTGGTTGGTATGTTTGGTTTTTTTTTTTTTTTTTTTTTTTTTTTTTTTTTTTTGTTCTTTTTTTTATTGGGGGGGTCTTGTTGGTGTGTTTTTGTGTAATAAAACCCAGTTTGGGCACATTTACTTTTGATTACAGGCAAGGTGTGCAGCTTTCTGGAGAACCTTGAACCTGGGTTCAAGCCATGCTTGACTCTTATTCCAGTTTCTGACTTACAATTCTTTCTTTGATTTAGCTTTTGTAATTCTTTATTTGAAAAAAGTATGCAGTGCCTGGGCAGACGTCCTGAGCAGGCATCTGTAGCAACCCATGCTCAGCAGGTATAAAGTGTTATTTTTGCAACACGTTGATAGCTAACGAATGCATGACAGCAGAAGCTGCCTTCTTCTATGCATGTCTACACAAGCAGAAAGGAATGAAAGAAAGGATGGGGGGTGGACAGTTGACTTTTCCAGAAGAAGCATTTTTAAAGCAGTCCTACAACTTTAGGAAGAATTCAAGGGGGAAAAAAAGAGAATAAAAAAAAATGCAACTTCTTTCCATGCCCTGCTTTCTTGTCCTATGGGATGTGACACTTCAGGAGCCCTACTCACCTGAGACAACAGAGCCTGGTGCTGTCACCCAACACCTGAATGCAGCTTAAGCACACAGGGACTCTCAAACAATCGGTCACTTCACAATTCCTAAGATGTCTGAAATTTTTCTAAAGGTTAGATAAAGTAGCAGATAAGATCTTTAAAAGCACAGCGTGCTTTCTGAGAGCTAATTTACTGCCAGCTAAACCGTGTTGACAGATGGAGAAGGTATTTTATTTTGAGACCAACAAGAAGCAGGCAGGCACTGCAAAATGCTTCATGTTCTCCTAGAAGCTTAGATTATTACGCTTGCATGTTAATGCACACTTTGGACAGTTGAGTTTTAAAAGAATAAGAAGTTGTAAAGCAAATGGCATTTCCTGGATAGCCTCAAGGGAATTTTGAATACTGAGCTCAGGGTCCCTGGTGGGAAGCCGCAATTTCAGCTAATTAGGGTGAATAGCAAAGTGTTGCATTTGGTCAAAACATTCTGTTAACCCTCATTTTTGTTGGCACCAACAAGAGTCTGGATTTTTTGCCTTTTCTTTTCTTTTTTTTTTTTTTTGTGAATTCACTGCAGGAGTGCAAGGCACTCAGCTCACATACATTAGGCAGAAAGTCAAAGGAAACGCCAAAGTTCAACTAAAGTACAAGTAATTAGAACCAGATTCTCTGCTGCTTGTATGTGTGCATTTCATTGTAGAAGTTATTTATAAGCCTCCAAACATTTGAAAAAATAACTATATACTGTAGATCATTTAATTTTTATGTCTCGTCTGGAAAAAAAAGTCTGCTTTTAATCATCTTCCAGGAAAGAGCCAGGAACTGGGAAAGTGGGTCTCAATTGTTTCAATACAAATTTCTCTCTTTCATGTGCCACATAAAACTATACTATAAAATTAAATCCAAAATATCATTGACTTCCCCCCCCCCTCCATTTTTTTTTAATAAAAAACCTCTTTGAATTTGTCATGCTTAAATAGTTTGCATTGTTATGAGGGTTTGGGTTTTTTTAAACTTTTGTTTGGACGACAGACAAGGGGAGAAGAAAAAAAAAATAGTGAGAGAGAAAGAAAACATTATCGTGGAGACTTGCCAGCCTTGACTTAGTAACCTGGCCATGACCCTCCAGCGAGTGTGTATTTGACCCGGTCACACATGACTCTAGCTGCGTACTGTTGCTGGGTTATAAGTCCCAGATATTTTTACCATATATACAACAGGTGGGGATCACAGACAACAGAAAGAGGAAAACAAAGTCTCCCCTTGTGGGAAGACTCCCATTTTCTCCCTTGCAAAGAAAAAAAGCACAAAGCAAAGACGTTGTGCTGCTACTTCAGTACTGGCACTTGCTGTGCTGGATCTTGCTTTTCCCCTGGGGTGGACGCATGGAGGTGGAGTGGGCTGAGGGCAGGAGGACTGAGGAAAAGGCTCAGGGGAAGCCATGTGCAAATGTTAATCAACACAGGACAAATTACCACAGTCAAAAATCTTTCCCTGATGCTGGTATGCATTGAAGTTCAAGAAGGAATGCTTTTTATTACAAGTGAGCCCAACATACCTGGATTAAAACCTACCAAAACTGCAAATTGAGATATTATTACCAGGATTTTCAGAAGTACCTAAGAAACTTTTTTTTTTCACATTTGAGTTTTTTTTTTTTAATTTATGGCTTTGTATCTGCACATATCTGCCTTAAAGGTATAATGTTAAATATATTTATTCTATTTCAATTCTTGGTTACAATTTTTGAAGCATTAATTTTAATCAAGTCATGCATCTCTACCAGACTGACCTTAAAAAAAGGGTGGCATTCTGGAAGAAAGCCAAAGAAATTCTCTAAAGTCTACTGGCTTGCATTCAGTCTGAAAAGGGGCATTCTACTTTCAACAGGGACATCAGAAGATGAAACTCCATGCCCTTGTTTCTTTTTGAGGGTGCCCAATCAAAAACGATCCTTTTTTGTCACTTTAAAAGCTAACAGACCATCTAACAGGTTTCCCCTATGTGCTGCTCAGGATTAATACAGTATGACTAAAATAACAACAGAACTAGAAAGAGGTAAAGGTTACAAAGCTCAGAAGCCCAGTCTGCAAGGACTGGACTAATGGACAAAACTGCGTGCAAGGTCACCTAAAAGGAG